ATATAAATTGAGTGTAACGCAATATTTTTTCTAGAAGCGGCAACTTCTTTCGCTTTAGCCCACTTATCGCAAAGTCGTACTCATTTATCACTTGTCGAAAAGCAAATCACTGACTAACAAAACAAACGAAATATTTGCAGACATAATTTTCGTTATAATCGTCGTTAGTTGTATTTTTATAATATCGTTATTTTTTTCCATTAATACCTTCATTTCATACATTTTTCCCGTTTTCCTCCATTTTTTTTTTAATTTTTCACATTTGTTGTGAAAACTCTTGAGAAAATAAAAAAATAGCCTCCTTAAAGTATTTTCCCAGTACGATTTCTGATGAAAATGTTGTTCATAGAGAAAAACATTTTTTCGTAAATTTTCCCGTTCTTTCTACGTATTTTTCAATTTTACTCAATTATTAAAAAAACGATTGCCTTGGTCACTAATTATATTAAAAATTTAATAAAAAAGATTTCTTGATACTTTTATATTGCAGCAATATTTCTGGTAGAAATTGGAAAGCGTACAAATTTTAAAATAATGAAATCGTAACGATGTAAATTTGTTTGTTTTCATTTTACGTTTTTCTACGGTTTTCCTAATTATTAATAAAACTACCAGAAAAATGAAAAAAACGAATAACTTACTCATGAACTAGATTAAAAATGCAATAAAAAAGGTCTCTTGTCGTTTATATTGGAGAAATATTGATGGTAGAAAATATAAGTCGTACAAATGTAAAATAATGCAGAAATCATTTTGCTATAATTTGAAAAAGTTGTATGTTTCGTCTTTTTTGGTTTTCCTAATTATTATGAAAAATACATTAGGTAACAAAATTCTGTATCAGTAGTTTTGTATTATAATGAACAATATCGATTTCTTGTAATTTTTCGATTGGAGTGATATTTCTGATAGAAACATAATATGTGTATGTTACTTTTGTGGGTGTTAAACTGTAGTTGAATAATTGACAAGATTTTTTAAACAGCTTTTCAAATAATTTAATTTGATTGAATTTTGCAAATTATTTATTTTTTACTTGATTCATATAGTACGTAGATACCGTACGTAAATATGCTGGTGGATTTCATAAATTACACTAAAGTTATTTTTGAAGTAGGTTAATTATTGTAATTTGAAGGTACCTACACTTAATAAAATTGGCGCGTTCCTATCGATTTTTTGGACAAATTTAGCAAGACTGTGCTATCTACAGGTAGCCTTCCCATTTCAATGTAGTTTTATAGTTACCTAGATCGTTTTATCGTAACATTTGACGTAACATCTTTACGTGACTTGTAGATAGTAAGTTATTGTTTTAGACACTGCAACTCGAAAATGTAACAGTAATATACCGCGCCGTATCGTCTATAAAGCCATCCGTAGTTAGGCAACTAAATGTACATTTAAAATATTTTTTGTATCAAACAGGTCAGTCACTTACAAGCCAAACTATAATTACTAAACGAGAAACTATGTAGTAATATGTATCTGGTGCTCGTATGTGATGGGGACTGTACTATGATTATCTGATCAACTAATTGGGCTTAAACGACGTTTATAGTGGGTGGGGTTGGAGAGGAATAAAAATGCCAATACTTTTATTGATCTTTAATGCCTGTACCAACAGCTGTAAAATGAAATAATCACAAACTTTTTGTGTTTATCTCAAACAAAGTTTAAAGAGGAAGTACAAAATTCATTGATTTGGCGTATATTTTTGAAAAAATTATTTCAACTGGAAAAAAACTACAAAGTCGAATCTGAAGACATTATCGATATAGCCTTTTTATATTATTAACTGTGGGGAAAAATATTTAATTGACCTTCAAGGATAAGTATTGTAAAAAATTCTATAAATATAGTTTTTATAGGAAATAATATGAATTAATAATATACTATATATTTTTAGGCTGTTTTGCAGGTTGTTTTAATAAAACTTAAAAAATAGTAAAAATATAAAATACTACTTTCTTCTTAGCGCTTTTAGGTACGTCTTCAAAACGTCGTTTCAAAACTACGTTTATATTGTTATTATTATTATAATAAAATATTGAAGGGCGTCCCGATAAAAATTAGGACTACCCTTATGTAGTATTCTAGTTATATTTGCAACAAAAAGAAAATTTTATGTAAAACTTTAGTTTAATATTTTAGATTCTGAGGGATTTGTAAAAGAATGTATTGGTTTTACAATGTTTATTTTTATTTATATATTATGTAAGTGTGGTACCTTATACAAAAAGACATTTTGTGTGCATGGTACTTTAAGGAGATAATTTTTTGATTTTCTAAGTAATTTTCACAATATCTGGGAAAATCTGGGATGAAATGTAAAAAAACGCGAATATTTTATGAAAATAATACTTTTACTATTTTCAATTTGATTTTGTTGTAATTCATTTAAAAATATTCCTAAAGACTTGAAATTTGAACAGAAAATTTACATTTGCCTTTTTTAGACATTGTACAATTTTCAAAACATTTGAGTCATTTTTGAACTATTTGTAGAAATAGTATATTTTATTAAAATTTAGTTAAAAATATTTATATGGACTTTATGGACTTGAAATTTAGACACAATACTCATATTTTCCTTTTCTAAACATAGTTAAATTTTAGCAATTTTTGAACTATTTATAAACATTTAAATTTTGCTAGTTTTATACCTAATTTTTATTCAGTAGGATCTTTGTAGATACAATTATTAGACCAAACAGAAATGCTTAAACATTTAACAAAAGGATTATTAAAAATACTCCGTAGTCAGCAAAAACAAAATTGGGCTTAATGTAATATTTTTTTTTTACAAAGGAATTTTATTATTAAATTTTAACAAAAATCGTTTAAGTAAAAATTATATAGAACAAATCTAGTTACTGGCTCATGCAAAGTTTTTAATTTTGTTTTGAATGTATGTATGTTGCCGATTTAAGAACGATGGTGAAGTTAGAATTGAGCGGATTGACTTAGTTTCGAATTATTATTTTTATGAATTTCTGATATTATAATGTGTGTTATGTTAAATAACTCAACGTATGAAATTTTTTTGTGTCTTTGTTATTGTTTAGAGGTGGTACCATATGTGCAATTATAGGGGTGCTTCAGCACCGCCAGACTTTAATTTAGTACCCTCAATTCAAAAACGACAAAAATTGAAAAATAGCGTGAAAAAGCTGTTCTAGGATGAAGACGGGTGCAGCCACTGTTATAGGGAATTTAATGTACAATTGTAATTGAAATCGGATTGAGAAGGTACTATAAAGAGGTCATTTTTCGATTTTTCAGAATTTTTCTCATCAAATGTGAAAAACAGGGAAAAAATATCGGAAAACTGGGATAAACGTAGGAAAAACGGGAAAATCAGTACAATATTAAACAAATATTATTAAAGAAATTATATAATGTCTAAAACATCGAATTTTGTTGAATGATTACAATAAAGATACGGATAAAACTTGTGTGCAATTTTCCGCACCACCTTGGCTATCGACAAACGCTAATGAAATATTATTACCGGTATTTGACGATATTCGAAAAGCGTATGAGGTTTTGTACGAGGCGCGCTTTTTTTATAGTGGTGTACCCGAGTAGGCCTAATCCACTGTGTCGATTTAACTAATCTTACCTTAAATCTTTAATCCACTCTATAATATAATACGATCACTGAATTATACCAATAATGAAAATTTAATAAACTATTGAAAAAGTTTAAAGGAATGATATTGGGAATAAAAATTTAAAAACAACAATGAATAATACAAATTTAAGAAATATAATTTACTATTCGATTATTATTAGCCAGCGCGTAATTTTGTGATATTTACTATCGTTCACATAGATAAATAGTATTGATCATAGTAAGCATACCTACAATTTTTGTTACTTTGGTGTATTTTGATACTGAATGTGCAATCGATACTTGTTTTCAGCGAAGTAAGGTAATACCTCAAATAATACCCGTAATCCGTATATAATTGCATGATTTTACGATTGATCGATTTTCATAAAAATCTGAGCTTCAAACGTACATAAAAATAAAAAGAAGGACATTCTTCGCATGTGGGTGCAGCCACTGTTGTAGATGGGAAGTTGGAAGGTAGGATACATGCGGGAATTTAATGTATGTGCTGTAAGAAACGATAAACCATTGCTAACGAAAAAAACGATTCTAAGCGGAGTTCAGTTGAAAGTGTATTATCAACAATATATATATATCATATTATGGAAAAAAAATTAAATAGGCATTTTATATTTTTTTTTAATAATATTTGTTTAATATTTTACCTATGCACCTATTTTCCCGTTTTTCCTACGTTTATCCAGTTTTTCCCTAGTTTTTTTTCAGTTTTTTAAATTTGTTGAGAAAAATTCTGGGAAAATCAAAAAAATGACTTCTTTAAAGTACCTTCCCCAGTCAGAAAAAGTGCTATCATTGTAAATCGGAGTAAAATTATTCACAGGAAAAATATAGGTCGAAATATTTTTCAATTAACACCTAAATTTCGTACATTTTCCCGTTTTTTCTCCGTTTTCCTTCGGTTTTTTCCCATTTGTTGAGAAAAACCGGGGAAAATCAAAAAATTATCTTTATAAATTTTAGCTCCGAAAACATGTAGCATAACGTTTTAACTTCATTTTTTATACACGCATGCATTGTCTGTATGTAATATGTATTTTGTTCTGCTTATTAATTATGAAATTCATGGATAAAATACTTAGTCGATAATATAAAATAGGTTATTGGATATTTTGGGGGAGTTCTCTCATTTTAAACTCGAGGGTGCTAAAGGCCCCCTTGGATAGCTGCATCCTCATAGTTTTGTTTATGCTCAAATAGTTTGTCACCAAAGAAATAATTGAAAAATGGTAAAGGTGTAGATGTAAATCAGTTAATGTACTTGACGCGGTACATATAGAGTAACTGAATTGGATGACCAATATAAAAATCACTATTAATCTTGTACATTTTACAAAAATTGTGATTAAAAATTACACTCATAAATAAAAATATTTTTCCAATCGGATATTTTTTATTTGGTAGTAAGAAAACATACAAAATAATATGTAATACGAGTAATCTGTATACATTCGGACCGGGGCATTTACTGGAAAGAGAAATTTGCCATTTACAATATTATACAATAATATGAATGGGCTTAAATTTATTGTATACGTTTTAAATAGGTAGATACGTGTATATCGAGAGGTTTGTCCAACTTGAATACAAACAAATCGTGTAGAAAAAAATAAGTAATACAATAAAAAAAAAAAAAAAAACTAGATCGAACACGGGGTGGGCGGGCGATAATTATTATTATAGATGTCGTTGTCGTCGTCGTTTATCAGTGAGCGTAGAAGAAGGTTTTTGCCGGGGACGCGTAGACGGCGGGCAACGGGGCGGCCGCGTGGACCACGGGCAACGGGGCGACGATCGGTTGGGCCTTGTAGGCGATGGCTACCGGGGCGGGAGCGTGGTGGACCACCGGGGTGAGCGCGGTGTAAGCGTGTCCCTCGACGGTACTGTAGGCGAAGTTGCCGCCTACGCGTTCGGAGTGCACTACGGCGCTGTCCAAGCTCGGGGTACGGACCAAAGCGGGTGCCGGGGCAGTGTACACGGTGGCGGCTGGTACGATGGCTGGTGCGTGGTACACTAGACCGGCTTCGGTGGCGGACAGGGCGACGGCGGCCAACAACAGCGTTACCATAATAACCTGTGGAAACCATAATAATAGTACATTAACAAATAATAATACATTCAAATATTAATTTTCGTGTTGAGTAACCTATTTTAATTAATTTTCAAATCAATTTTTAATAAGGTCTTAATAAGGTTTTAATAAGTAGTGGTGTTACAGTGTCACTGCAAACCGAGATCAACTAACATATTTACGGAGAATCCAATTTTTTATGATGCCACAAACCCGTTCGATCTTATAGTTAAGAAATCGAATTTGTGTCGGGAAAATAAAAGAACGGGCAATGTTTTGTATTTGTAATTTATTCAATATAGCGAATAAAGCTGTTAATATTTTTAAAACAAAGAAACATCATAAAAGGTTTTAAAACGATAATAATTATTTCCTTTTCATTTTTCTACGGTGAAAATTTGGTTTTAAATAATGCGAAACGATTTTATTTAGACGATATTTTTTATTTTGTCCTATGCAATAACTACCTAATGTCCTCGGAATTCGCATTGAAAAGTTTGAAAAACTGTGCGCAGAATTCGAAATTAATAGTTTAACGTTGAACGGTTTGAAAACAAAACAGGTGACGATATGAAAATGTTATTTTACGATTGTACGGTGGTTACGTGCTGATTTGTATTTGATTTATTTGAAGGTACAGTGAAAATCGGAGAGAAACCTGGAGATTGGCGATGGAGATTGCCTACTAAACGTATCGGAAACGGGCCAAATGGAGTTTATTAAACAAAATATATAATATAGTATAATATCTACAAACGAAATATTCGAATACAGACAGACGATATTATTAATTCAAAAGTCGGGGAATCGCGGGTTTGATGGAGAAACATTTTTTTTTTTCAGTCGAATCGACTCCGTCTCGTTCCTATACGAACCGGGGAAACCTGTTACGTCGTACAGTGATGATTGGTTATTGATTTTACGATAAAATCGCGATACGCTTACCTTCATGTTTCTGGTTGGTGGTTGTGAGATTACTCGATCGAAAACGAATGAAAACTATTTGGTATCGCACAGTGGACCTGGACCGTCTGCTGCAGATGCTTTGATGCGGCGGTCGGCGGATACCGAGCCTTTTATACACGCGACTCTGCAACAGTATCGGATCGGGTGGTGGGAACGGATTGTTCGCTGCCCGCACGGCGGCGGTCGTGGACCGAGGGGTTTCGTGTTCTCCGCTATTGGACTCCACCCAGAAATCCAGCGATCGTGACCTTGATCCAGACATTGCAACATTAACATTGTAATATGCGAGTCAACTGTACCTGTGTTCGACAGTGTAGGTATACATTATACAGGGTGATTGTTTTTATCGTCGTGAACCTCCCATAATAGCTGATCGACGTGTTAATTTCGAGTAAATTCGATTTTTCCGGTCATTTCAATCCAATATTGTTCATAATATTATTGTCATATCATTGATCCTCCCGGAGCAGGGGATTTGTATATTTTTCTACATGAGCGAACACAATTTTGAAAATACAAACATTTGTGTGTAGACGAATACACTGCATTCATTTTGAAAATACGTTTACTTATGCGATATAGATCGAAAAACAAAGGGAATAAATTAACGTCAGACAGAATTATACTACATTTTTTAAAAAATACCGAAAATCGACTTTAGTCCTTCTTCCCTGGGGCCAAAAAATAAGATATATTTATACGATATTTTTCGTTATTCCGTATTACATAATATAGATACAATAATCAACTTTTGACGTTTGAAATGAGTAAAATTTCAACGGTCGCAAATAATAATTTTAACAATTATTACACTACTTTGGGCAAATCGAGATATTATTTTCTCTTTTCGAACGCGCGAGTAGAAATAAAATATAATGGGTTTTCATGAATAAGGTATCCGAAACAAGGGTAAAATTATGAACATTTTGTAATAATATAAGCACCAGTGTTAAAATATTCTTTGATGAAAAAAAGATAAATCAAATTTATTTAAAAATCATCGTATGGAGACTATAGAATCTGGTTGGTACCTACGATAAAAATAAACACCCTGTATACACATAAAATTTGTCGTATTAGATTGTTATATTTGTATACCTAAACTATTACGTATAGTGAGTATACACTGATACAGTTTAACATACGTGTACGACAGCGGCGGTCGCGCACGAACCCCGGAACTTACAACCTACCTACCTGCCGTCGAGTGCGTTACACAAAGACGTGGTGGGCGTTGTTTTTTTTTTCATTTTTAATTTCAGACTTGGCTACGGTGAGATTATCGTATTAGAATATTCGAAAAACCGTTCAAATCGGTTAAATTTTTTTTTAATCCGACCCATTCTAAAATCATATCCGACGACTGCATCATATCGAACGAATCCTGTAGATGATGCTATTTGACAGTAGGAGCGGCGTAATGGACTTCTACATTTCTGAGACGAATTATGTATATAAAAAACGGTTCAAGATATGGAAAATAAATTATATATTTATTGAAAGTACATATTATGTCATACAATTTTTTTTTATTAGTTTCGGTTGAAAAATTATATCCTCCAAATGTTGGCCTTGATGGGCAATGCACATAATATGTATTATAGCCGTTCCCGGAATTTTTCCATTAATCTCATAGCATGGCTTCCCCGCTCTTATGTTTTGAGCCTTTGTGACTTTTTCCTATGGACGTAGAGTATCTCAAAGCTGAGATTTTCAAATATCCTTAAAACTCTGACTCGAGGTCATTCGTGAAGAAATCGCCGGAATTTCTCAAGACAATATGCTGAAGAGAAACGAGAAGGATAGACAACTTATCAGGAACGGCTCTATATTTGCATCACCCGTCAACATTTTTAGAAGATATAATTTTTACAACCTGCAGACTAAACAGAAAAAACTTATTACTTTGCGGTGTACTTTCATTTTAGCCAAACGGTTTTTTTCGTCCATATTTTGTATACAGTTTTTTTTTTTTATTAATTCGAATTTACTTTTTAAACGTCCAGGGATTCCGTTACATCCCTTATGTTTTGAAATGTTTACAATAAAATACGATGTTAATTATTATTCGTGGAGGTTCACTACTATCTACTGCGTCTTCGAATACTGTTCAACTACACCGGTTTGATTGTTTGTATCCGGACGACGACGGTTGAAAAAAAATAAAATAAAAATCACTAGATATTACCTATTATTATTATTGTTTTTTTTTTTTTTTTTTAACGTCCAAACCGCAGTTAGGCGAAATATTATTATTATTTTACGGTCGATTGATTTTCACTGCGGTTTTTTATTATTATGTTTCAGCGCCCACGTTATCGTAGTTATTGGCTCGTTTTCGGGACAGGTTGTACTACTTGCAGTATTATTTATATTATATCAGAGTGTTTTTTTTTTTTTATTATTTTATCAAGTATTTTCTTCAAAATTTTCCCGGTTGAAATACTGTTATTGTATATATATATAATATATTACTCGTACCTGTAAGTCATGATTTTAGAGTCCTGATTTTCAGGTGTTTACATAATATTATAACTGCGAGTTTTACGAGAGAAAAAATTTAAATTGCTTATTCAACACTGTTGAGTTCATAGAAACATTTTTTTTTTTCATGCTTGAGAAAATTGTTCAACGGTTATAGGCAATATTATTTAGCATATTTTGAAGTATTTTGTGAATTGTAAGGAAAAAAAAGACGTCCTAGTATAATGCAAACGGGTGCAGCCACTGTTATAAGTAATTTAATGTATATACGTAAGCAACGATAAACCATTGTTAACGAGAAAACGCTATTGAGCGCAGTTCAGTTGATAGTGACGTTTTGTCAACAATATATTTATATATATATATCATACTACGATAAAATAATTAAATAGGAATTATATATTATTTAAAATATATATTTGTTTAATATTGTTCCGATTTTTCCATTTTTCCTGCGTTTTTTCCGGTTGTTCACATTTGTTTGGAAAACTCTTGGAAAAATCGAAAAATGACCAGCCTAAAGTACCTCCTCGGTAAGATTTCCTTTAATAAAGAGTATTATCATTGTAAATCGGAGCAAAATTGCTGCTAGAAAATATGTACACAGAAAAAAAAGAAGGCCATAATATTTTTTAATTAATGCCAATATGTTTTATATTTTCCTGTTTTTAACAGATATTATGAAAACAACTTATAAATCAAAAAATGACTTCCATAAAGTACCATGTAGATAAATTTCCTTTCAGAAAATAAGTTACACTTGATAAATCGAAGCAAGATTTAATGAAGCTCCTGTTAAATTTTCACGCATTTCTGTTCAGTTACTTACTATTATAAAACTAGCAAAATTGAAATGTCTTTAAATAGCTTATAAATTGCTTATTTTTTTTGAAAATTTTACCATGTCCAGAAAAGGCAAACATAGGTTTTCTATCCAAATTTCAAGTCTCTACAAATATTTTTAACTAAATTACAACAAATAAAAAAATTGAACAAATAACAGAAGCATTATTTTCGTAAATTTCCAACTTTTTCTTTTTATTTGGAAAACTGCCAGGAAAATCAAAAATATGACTCCCCTAAAGTATCACTCCAAGAAAATTGTTTTCGATAAAAGGGTCTATATCGTATACATCAGAGCAAGATTTCTGATAGAATATTTGTACACAGGATAAAAAAAAAATAAAACAAATGAAACATCTTTGTAAAACCAATATATTATTCGCTGCACCCAGAATCTAAAATACTGATAGTACTACTGTAAGTCGTCAATAATTCATAACTTGTTCTTACGCATCGTTTTGTATATTTTCCTAATTTTCAAGTGAATATACGGAGATGATGTTTGTATTTTGTTTTTAGAAGATATAATATATGTATCACACTTCATTTTTTTTTCAACATAAAAATCTGGACTCTGGGTATATGCTATATTTATTATAATCATCGATTTTGGTACGCGTGAAATCCACAACTCTGTTCTATCTATATTCTGCTTTACCTATTAAACGTATTTAATGTGTCGTATTTATCATGCAGGATCTGAGCTAGGGGATTTTGTTCGTTAATTTTTTTTTCGAACATTCAAATCTTTTTTATGATATGAAATACGTATAATACAACTGAAATCTATAAATCGAATGACGCACCGATATTTTTCTTAAGAATAATAAATACGGTGTCTGTCGGTTAGTTTATGTTTTTTTTTTATCGGACCGTATTTTTATTACCTGTTGGATTGGACTGGACATTTTTTTTCGCATTTTTCTATACAATAATCGTCGTGCAGTATATTATCAGCCATCATCGATGAAAAAAAAAAAACCCCCTGTCGTGTCGTTTTTATCCGTATCCGAATATAAAAAATACATATACGCTCAATAAATTATACTAACTAGACAGATAATAATAGATAATTTTATAATAATATTATAATAGTAACTGATATAGGTCGATCATAAAATTATCTACCGACAATTTTCTATATTTTATTTCGAGTACCTACATAAATTGACAAAATTATTTTTATTTACCGAACCAATAATATAATATCTCCTAATTAAATTTAATGAAGTACGCATGAACATTATTATATTTTATCAAATAAATTAAGCAACATCGTCATTATACGATACTTACCTATAATATATTACATAAGTACTTTTTCAATTAAAACCTCTTTGTGCGCTTACTTACTTTAGTTTTTTTAATATATTTTTAACCATACTATTTATATAGATGTTTTTTATTTTGTAAATGAATAGTATAAAAATTATCATCACACTTTTATACGATATTGTATACAGGACATTTCACTGTACATTATTTGCGCAATGACAGAGTATGTTAATTAATATTACAATAATACTGTACGACCAAGGAAACAATTATATATATATATATACGAGAAATAATATATAAACAACAGTGTCGTTTTACTAGGGTATCATTATAATATATTACTAGGTAATTAATTTTATTATTATTCGAAATTACTAACGCACCCTAAGAGGGTTTATTGAAAAAATATCTGTGAAAAAAGAGCAGATACTGTTAATGGCATGCCACTCTTATAGATGAGAAGTTGAGATTGTACGATGCATAGAGTAATTTAATTTATATCTGTACGCAGCGATAAATTGTTGATAACGAAAAACGATTCTGA